AATCTAGTAATGTCTTGGATTTCCAGTTAATTGATTGCTGGAGATGTATTCATTGCAACTTGTCTGGGTGTATGCCTTCACACCAAAATGCCTGGACATTGATTGTAATGCCCACATTGGTCAAATATCTTGATCGGGTCATACCCCAGGATTAATTTTAGTCTCTTTCCTTTGGCCTAGTGATGGAAATATTTCTTCAAGTGGTGAGATGAAATGATAGCATATCGGGAATTGAAGTTAATGGCATACTTTATAAAATCTCAAACCTTGCACACATCTTACTTTTTTTCAATAACCAGCACTGCTGCATTTTTGTCCGATTTTTGTTTAATGAACTGTTTTTAATGGCACAATCACTTACTTCAAAGTGAGTTTGGACAAAAGTAAGATACGTAACAAATTTTCCCAAATGTACCCTGCATAACGCAAGCTTACAATTTCTCCTTGGGTAAGTCTAGGTTCAAACACTTGGGAATTTAGATTTCATCTTCTCATTCTACTATATTTATTGTCATTATGTCCCTCTTTAAACTAGAATCAAAGTTAGGCTAGGAAGGATTACTATAACAATAAATTATTCCTGTAACCCTAGGGCACATTTTCATTCTGTTCATTCCACCCTGACAAAATGTATGTGGGCATACAAGAAGCCAAGAATGCCCTATTGCCTATTGCTTAGATCCAAAGATCTAAGCAGAACTGGCCTATCAGACATATATCATTTTTGTTTATCCATCCACTTAAATAGGATTTTAAAATGGTCTGGCCTAGAACCTTCCAAACATTAGTTACACCTGGAGCAATCCTTTCTTGACAGTCATATTGTTTTCTTCCCTGGCGATCTGTTACAATGAATATTTTTTTACTATTACCCCCACATTTACACTGTGGATGGAGAAAGGAGATCCTTTACCCACTCACCGGTTATTTTCTCATTATACCCAAACTCCCATAATCTTCTTTTTCTTCCTAGTGACTCTGGTGGTACACAGTTTACTATTTGGCCATATGCCTATGTTGCTTTGTCAAAAATGCTTGAAACAATCAGTATGAGTTCCTAATATTGATCTGACTCAAAGGGCCAAAAACACCCATTTTGCCTACCCACAATCTTTTTGAATTTTTTACCAAACAAGAATAATTAACTGACAGGAAAGCAGAAGAGACCTACCACAAGCAGTGCCAATCAAAAAAAGAGCCGGCAGAGCACTGATTAACCTGAGGTGGGCATTACAAAAAAATAACAACTACAGAGGTGAGGCATGGTGGAGTTACATCGGAGGGGAGGTAAGTTTATTTTTTATGTAGTATTATAATATGTAATGTTTTTACAATAAATACATTATGTATCTTTGTGATAAATTATGTATGCAAAGCATAAGGGGAATTAATATTAAACTGAACTTGTCATGACCTCTCCAACACATTCAAAGGACCAAACAAGGCTCCAAATAGAAAAAAAAGGGCAATAAAACTAATTACAATAAGATATTATTTAAAGTAGTCTCGATAGCTCCACTACCAAACAATTATGTACTAAATTTGCATTAACTATGGTTATCTATAATAGTAATGCCAACCAACCAGAAGAAATATGTAACCACATTATTTACCTCATGTCTCTGGTCATGTAATTTGCTATATGTACTAATTTCTGATCATCATAGTAAAAACATTTAACTCCATTTCAGAATTCAGATTTTTCATGAATAATCAACATCATATAAAATGCATGGACACCACCATGATGACCAAATAGGGGACCTAATGTGTTTAGCACCGTGAGCACATTAAAACTTCCCGATAGGATAGCATTGAATCTCCTATATGGGCTTTCACGTCACATGATGAGTTTTACTGAGACAGTACAGCTGAAGGGCCTCTACTGACTGCCATTACAGTTTACATTGCAGGTTTAATGGACATGGCTGCTTCATTGAGATGGTGTGGTCTTGGTTACTGTAGTGTCCCTTTAACTCAAAATATGGTTAATTAAAGTGGCAATGTCACAAATTGTTAATGTCACTGTTGGGGATAAAATCAGCCTGGGCCCTTTGTGGATGATGGATATTTGCCAACTCATACAGAGCTCTGGAAATTGGAAATGAATAGCAGAGACGTGTTCAATAACCAATTCAAATTGTATTCATACGTCAGTTATATTTATACCCCATTTTCATAGCAGGATGGGAGGGGGAAAAATGAGCATATGGGCGTGACAATGACATTGTTTTTCACAAGTTATAAACATCTGTTTTTAGTTATAATTCGATGTTACATAATGTATGCATATTGGATAAAACCCAGATGATTACAAATACCGAAATCTTGGACAATTAACAAGGTCATTCCAGAATCCTTATCATGTCATGTCATGTAAATAACAAAATCATGTTCCAATAACATTTCCCGTAAATAGATAAGTCATTGTGACATGAGATACAATTCCAAATTTATTCTTGATTCAAATTAACCCTTACATGAACAGTTAGGATATAGAGCAAAATGGATATTCATATCCTACAATTCCTCTCTTTAGATCATATCGTGATCTACCTTATGGAATATCCATGGGAGGCCTGCGGCAGAGAAACGAAAGGAGGTATATTCAGACGTGCTAATCACGTCTGCGGGACTTTCCTTATTTCTTCACCTCGATTTCCCCCATTTGCTCTATGCCGTAGGTTTTCCCTTTAAGAGGAGATCGAGCTGTCGATTTTCAGCTTCTGTAATCATCTGTTGTACACATCTTTTCAGTGTACAAGTTAAATATTTCAAACAGCTGACATCTTAACCAATTTTAAACATACTGCACATCATGTTATCTGTAACTTGAGCCTTGGATCAAAACAGGCAAAGTGTATTATTCCTAACAACGGGAATATTATTATTATAATTCACAACGTAAACACATATAATCAAAAATGGGAATAAAATCTATTTCCCCTCTTTGGACCAGGGTCTTGGATTACCAGTCCACCCAGTGAACTTGGGCCAGGTCAAAAATCCCAGTGGCAAAAACTCATAATTGAGAAAAAAAAAAGCACATCTGGGTAAATTCTAAATGAGGGCCATGACTGTGTAGACATGTCATCCCCTCACGTTGACAGCATTAGTGACTTATAAAACCCACACTTGTAAGTAAATAGCTCGGGTATCGGGATTGGGAAACACTTCTTGATGAGTTTGAAAAGGCCCACTTACATATTAAATCATAAGATAATTTCTAATCAGTTTGCAATTCTAACAATAGTCCTAATCATGACCTTGCGTCCTATGCCTCCTAATCAAATCCCTATTTCGATAGTCCAGTCATATCCACACTTAATACATTGGAATCCATCCTTGGTACACTCAACATACATCAATGACACACATAGTACATCCATGCCTGAGTAAGCTAACACTTCCTCTCTCTCCGGCTAACTCTACAAAAATAAAAATAACAAAATAGTTCAATAGTCCAGCATAGTCCAGAAAAATATTATAAGTCTTTCAAGGAGTATAAAGAATCTTAGACACCATAAACTTTGTTCCATAATCTTAGACACCATAACATAGCTAAGGGTAGCAATATGGCTGACAACAAGACAATGTCAGCTTCCACATAGTTCTTAATTCTTCTGTTTGCTGGATGTTCACCACAATACTCTGTGCAACACCCCAATTGTTGAAAGGGTAATACAGAAATAGCGGCATTAGACAGCACTGCATCTTCAGGACTTTCCAAGTTAGTCTATGTCCTCATAAGTAAGCATCTCAGTTTCTTCGGCCAGCATGGTTTTTGACCAAACAGATTTAATTGCAAAAAAAGGTAGGTCAGCCAGAGAGATTGGTGTGTAGTCCCAAATATCAGGCAGCACAAATACTCCAGTACGGTCTCTATAATCATACAAACACAAGGATCAGTACGGCATCAATAAATTAATTATCGAGGCTAAACTCAAATTAGAGACTAAAGTTAAACTCTTAACTAGTGTAACATGTACGTCTCTCAGTTTTGTTTATGTCCTTTATAAAATTTTAATACGTAATTTCCCTTTAAAATGCCTTGTATGGATGAGAGAAGCACTCATTCTATATAAATGCTTGTTGAGTACTAAAACACTAACATATACATATTGGAATAATTCCCAATAAAATGCTGTTCTTAAACTTAAACCTTGATTTGATAATCTCAATTAATTACTTTAATAAAATGTTGTGGACCCTGATAACATCTTTGGAAACCGAAACCTTTTATAGATCCCGATGTGTGTGATCATGTTTTAATACATGTTGGAACCTCCATACAGTTATCCCACTTAAACAATATATTTTTTTCCAGAACAACTAGGAATGAAATAGGAGAAACAAAATGAATTACTATTGTTCTAAAGTGTTTTGTTTAATACAGGTTTAGGAAGAGTTGTCTTGCTGTGTTGCAAGTGGCCTCTGATAAGGAAGGGACAGCAAACTGTAGACATATGTTATATTAAGTTGCTCTCACTTGTCAGGTCTTGGAAACCCACTTAATTTATTGCAGATGCCTCTATTATACCACTTTACAAATTGACTAAGCATACTTATTATCCTATTTTATTTTAGTTATTTCACATTGCACAGCCTATGCAAACAATGTCTAGGTCCCAACTTCAGCTTGTACATCCTCTAAGAGCCAGCATTAATACTGTTTTATCTATCAAAACTATATATAAAGTATTAAAAACATGAACCATCTGTGTATTAGGCTGAGGTTGTTGGGTGTGGGTATAGCTTGAAAGTTGTGGTTGGTATTGAGGAACCTGCCAGGGTGGGAGTCCTTGAATGCCAGCTGGGCCAGGTTGACCAGGAGAACCGGGTTCACCACAAGCACCTTTGGGTGAATCCCTGCTATCCATAATTAAAACAGTGCTGAAGTTACCATCTCTTCAAAAGTTAAATCCTTTGATCAAATTCTCTACCTCTGCCTCTAAAACTTTTCTGATTCAATCTATCACCTCCAAACTTTCTTTGTCTCGCCTGCTTAAGATCACAATCACAACATACTTTTCCCTCTTTCTTTATATCCAAAACAACCTGCCGTATCTTTCTCATGAATCTTCCCAAGAAATTCAGTTGGGGTCAAAGAGGGCCAGTCACAGACCAACAGTTTGACCAAAAGTGAACAAGGAGGAAGCATATTCCATATGAAGGTCGAGATGACTTAACTCACACCCCCTCTTTGTGTACACCTATTTGTGTACCACACAGATATAATATTAATAGGCTTTTGAAGATTTATTGTGCATGTATAGCACGGTTGTCTAGGGGTGTATACATAAACAGTGAAAGCAGAGTCTTCACATAGGGTTTGCAATACTGACAGTCTGTGTCATAGGTGTAATACAGACATGCGGTTAGGAACTTTTCCATTGTCAGCACACTAATATATTGCAAATATTAAAATCATATTGCAGCTGTTTCCTATACCTGCAAGGATATGGTTTGAATACTTCAATTGAGTTCAAATTGAGTATCAAAAATTCTAACCACAAAAACTAAATTTTATATGCTTATCAAAATGAGTTTAACCCCTTAGTAATTTAATAGGGTGACCTCTTCCCATAGTATGGTTCCTTTTATTATTATTATATTATTTATTCTCTTCTGGGTCTGCAAAATGCTTTCAATATACCAATACAAATATAATACAGTAGTTTAGAATTGCCTCAAAAGAAATTATCTGATCTCTATTAAAAATACCATTTCATCATTTTCCTATAATCAATGAGGCATACTAGATGAATCTTAATCTTGGAAAAAACCTATCCTATACTGGACAGGAAAGTTGAATTTTGACAGGAAGTCCATTATTGCAACAGAATTTTGGAAATCAGCTAAAATTTACAAAAACAGACTCCCTCTTTTTTTTTTTCTTAAGACTACAACTCATATTGCTCTTGGACTAGTATTCTCTAATAAATCAGTTATTTAATAGATTATTACGCTGCCATTTACATCTGTATCAATACTAAGACAAACTTATTCAAATATAATTTAAAAAAACACAGCAAAATACCCATTAACATACATGACGATTAAACTGCGCACTTCAAAATGAGTAACCAAAACAAACATTTATGACAATCATCATTCACACAGAATAAACTTCTAACAGCTGTATTCAGAACATATTATTGTAAGGTATACCAATTTTAGTTTGTATTGGATTTATTTAAGAGTTCTGGTACCAAAGGGTTTATTTTTTCTTTTTTAGAAAAGAAGGGATCCCGTACGGCCATATAACACGTTTGACTTAAACATTTGTATAACACTTGCATTAACCAGTTGCAACATATGTACCCTGTCAATAGAATTTCTCTCTTATACGCTTATAGAACATTTGGACCAGATTACACAGACATGGTATCACCTGCATTTGTCAGAACTCTCAAAGACTCAAAATATTTATACTACTCCATGTTAAAGGCATGGCAAAATTTTGACCGGTCAATTTGAGTTTCCAAAAGTCATATCAACACAGGTAAAAACCTTTGTCCATGGTTTTCTGATCCTACATTCCATGACCAAAATTTCAAACCCACTTCTTCACAGTTTGGGTCGCAAGCAATAAAATCTCAGCAACCCCATACAATAATTTACAGAATACATACAATTTAAAGCACATACAACATGTGACGTACTGGAATACTACAAGTTAGCTTACAGCACAATATGAAGCATGTGTTGGAACGCTGAAAATATACATTTTGCTCTCTAATTCATAATCATCTAAATTTACAACATAAGTTCTCTGCAACAAACACACAGGGCAGAAAGAATGTGGTGTTTGACGTTTTGAATGAAGTGACTTTTTGTCCCAATATGAAAATAAAGGGCTCATCATATAAACAATCATACATCCCACTCTCATGAAAAAGTGTAGTGGGCTTATAGTACTTTTGACCAAGTATAAAAATAAGGGGCTCATTATGCAAACATACATACATGCAGATAAATCATGTTAGTTCTAGAATTTGTAGCCCCCCTTAAATAACCTCTAATTTTTTTCTTATTCCACATCACCATTACATGTACTTTTTACATTCCCTCAATTAAGACTTTATACTTAAAATCAGCGTTGCACATCATAAAATAGCACATAAATTAGCAAGCCGGAGTAATGCCAAACATCCATCATACCTTTTAACCCCCTTTTTTTTTTTTAATAACCATTTTAGTCTGCCAAATTTACATCTACGTTAAATAAATACCACAGTCCACCAAAGACTGGAAATCTGTTTTACAACCTACCAAAGGCAACCTCTACCAAAGAGGGATCTAGGGACGTCTCCCATATGTAAATGTACATCACAGGTACATCACAGCCTACCAAAGGCTTGAAATTATTTTTAACACCTGGCCAAAGGTGAACCTCTTACCAAAGAGGAAATGTGCACAATAACTGCTACTACCTACCAAAGGCAATCCTCCAACCCGTGGAGTAATAGAAGTCTACCTAAGACTTAACAAAATACCATGTCTACCAAAGACATTATCCTGTGAAAATCCCCTTTAAAAATGTAAATAGTGAAAAACCCCATTAAAACAAGAAATGCAATGTGTGGGAGGATGGCAGAAGCAGGCAAAGGTCCCCAACCCCTTAAGGACACACGACAGAAATACTCCGTCATGATACCCTTAAATTCCAGAAGTTGTGTCCCCAAGGGGCTAAAGACCCTCTTACCTGCTACTCCGTTCCCAATTGCACCCAAAAACTTCTGACACCAGTTTGTTGGGGATAAAATCAGCCTGGGCCCTTTGTGGATGATGGATATTTGCCAACTCATACAGAGCTCTGGAAATTGGAAATGAATAGCAGAGACGTGTTCAATAACCAATTCAAATTGTATTCATACGTCAGTTATATTTATACCCCATTTTCATAGCAGGATGGGAGGGGGAAAAATGAGCATATGGGCGTGACAATGACATTGTTTTTCACAAGTTATAAACATCTGTTTTTAGTTATAATTCGATGTTACATAATGTATGCATATTGGATAAAACCCAGATGATTACAAATACCGAAATCTTGGACAATTAACAAGGTCATTCCAGAATCCTTATCATGTCATGTCATGTCATGTAAATAACAAAATCATGTTCCAATAACATTTCCCGTAAATAGATAAGTCATTGTGACATGAGATACAATTCCAAATTTATTCTTGATTCAAATTAACCCTTACATGAACAGTTAGGATATAGAGCAAAATGGATATTCATATCCTACAGTCACAAAAAGTATTCATAAATATTTTTGAGGCAGTTTTAAAGCAATGTAATTATTCAAGGTGGTGTATTTTAGTATGTATTTAGTCTACTTTATTTGTATAAAATGAATTGAGTAAAATACATTTCTTTACTGTTGAATAAATACATTCTCTAGCTAATCATTTTGTTTTTGCAAAGATCATTAAATATATTTAGGAGACTATAGAAGTTAAAATGTGGAACACTGATTTTAATTAGTTTTAATGGTCATAGTCTTGAACTCTGTTGAACCATGCACATTCAGTAAAACCATAAGTGATCAAATTAAATGTTTTATCAAAACTTGCATAGAATGACATATTTAATGATCTATTATAAAAGTCTAACTCTTACAATTAATGTAAAATGTAAATCTCTGCAGTATCTGCATATAAAATATACCAAATTAAAGTGAGATTAATGCAGAAATTGGATTTGGAAAAAAAAATAGGAATGAGATTTTAGAGGTCATTTACTGAAAATTTGTACTTAGGCTTGTTTCAGAATTTAAATAAGGTCATATTCATTTTAAGGACAATAATGCAATTTCAACGTGTAGTTTATACCAGTTTGATTTGATATTTAAGAAATAAAACCAGGCTTTTTTTACTCCCCTTAATTTTGTACTTTAATAAGCAATATTTGTCATAAATCAGCACAAAAATGGTCATATCTGAAGATATATTTGTCCTTATAATAGAGGTAACTCTGGAGTAGTTATAGAATAAAATTCTAACTGTGTAAGCAATGTAACTGTTCCTTGGTTTAAAGGCCAAATACAAAATAAATGAAAATAGCTGTTTGGTAGATATAACCCAAATTAAATTATGCATGATTTAATTAATTTTAATTTTTTTCATCGGAGTATATCTAAAAACAGCTTGCAAGACTATGGCCTGGGTTATTAATATATATGACTACAAGGAACATTTTCTAATTTTGTTACTGATTATATAATAGTCCATGATCATTATTTTGATACATGAAGGCCTATCATTTTAACACAATGTTCTCAAAATCTATATTGAAACATACATTAAAATGTGCATTAAGGTTTTTGAAGGGCAGGTGAACAGGGCTGGTGCAAGGATTTCTGCCGCCCTAGGCATAGATCCATTTTGCCGCCCCTCATGTCACTCACTCACTGACAGACACACACTGGCAGACACACATGCTCACTGACATGCACACAGACACACTAACTGACACACATACACTCACTCACTGACACACAGAAACAGGTGAACAGGGCTGGTGCAAGGATTTCTGTAGCCCTAGGCATAGATCCATTTTGCCGCCCCCTCATGTCACTCACTCACTGACAGACACACACTGACAGTCATACACTCAATGACAGACAGACACACACACTCACTGACACACACACACTGACAGACATACACTCACTCACTGACAGACATAAAGACACTCACTGACAGACAGACAGACACATACACAGGCAGACACTCACTGACACACACCTGACACACACACACACAGGCAGACACTCACTGACACACACACACAAACACAAACACACAACAGACACAGACTGACACACACACTCACTGACACAGAGACTCAGAAATCCAGCCTCCCTACCTCCCTGGGGTCCAGTGTGGGGCAGCTCCTCACTCCTCCAGCACGCTGTTTAGTATGCTGGGGCCGGAATGACGTCATATTCCAGCTCCCAGCATCACAGAGGCCACGCGAGGGAGGAGTGGGAAGCTGCAAGAACAGCCTCCCCTGCCATCCACAATAGAGCAGCCTGCCTCCTGTCCTCCTCTCCTCCGCTCACCGATATTTCTTGGCAGAGCAGGCACCTGCCATCAAAGTAAGCAGGTGCTTGCTCTGCCTTACCTAGCAGAGCTTTGGGGGAAGCCTGAGGTGGCCAGATGGCCACCTTCTGGTCCACCTGTGACAGGGATCCTCTGGGCGCCCCCACTTTCGGGTGCCTGGAGGATCGGCCTGGCGCTGAGGGGGGGGGCAGCTCAAGAGCCGCTCGCCCAGCACTGCGGACCCAGACAGGGGGATCCCACCAGGAAATAGACCCTTAAATATGCCACTATTTATGGACTTTGACAAGTGATTTTAAACAATCATGAGGTTGTCCATA